TCGGGGGTTGTCCCCACGGAGGTGACGGCCATGGAGGAGGAGGATGCTGCGCCTCTCGTCCCGCTCCCCACAGCCGGCGGCGGGGGGGACAGCGCGGAGAGGAACGGGGACAGCGCGGTGCCGCCGGGTGAGAGGCCGCGGGGCTGTGGGGATAAACTGGGGGGTTGGATGGTGGGTGGGAAGTGGTTTTGGTGGGGACAGGGGTGTGGGGACACGTGGTGGTGGGGGTGTTTTGCTTAATTGTAGGGTCTTGTGTTGTGTCCCCATCCCCAAACCTTCTCCCACTGTGTCCCCAAACCTTCTGCCACTGTGACAATGTCCATTCTCCCACTGTCTCCCCAAATCTTCTCCCACCACGTCCCCATCCTTCCTCCCACCACGTCCCCATCCTTCCTCCCACCACGTCCCCATCCTTCCTCCCACCACGTCCCCATCCTTCCTCCCACCACGTCCCCATCCTTCCTCCCACCACGTCCCCATCCTTCCTCCCACCACGTCCCCATCCTTCCTCCCACCACGTCCCCATCCTTCCTCCCACCACGTCCCCATCCTTCCTCCCACCACGTCCCCATCCTTCCTCCCACCACGTCCCCATCCTTCCTCCCACCACGTCCCCATCCTTCCTCCCACCACGTCCCCATCCTTCCTCCCACCACGTCCCCATCCTTCCTCCCACCACGTCCCCATCCTTCCTCCCACCACGTCCCCATCCTTCCTCCCACCACGTCCCCATCCTTCCTCCCACCACGTCCCCATCCTTCCTCCCACCACGTCCCCATCCTTCCTCCCACCACGTCCCCATCCTTCCTCCCACCACGTCCCCATCCTTCCTCCCACCACGTCCCCATCCTTCCTCCCACCACGTCCCCATCCTTCCTCCCACCACGTCCCCATCCTTCCTCCCACCACGTCCCCATCCTTCCTCCCACCACGTCCCCATCCTTCCTCCCACCACGTCCCCATCCTTCCTCCCACCACGTCCCCATCCTTCCTCCCACCACGTCCCCATCCTTCCTCCCACCACGTCCCCATCCTTCCTCCCACCACGTCCCC